ATATTAATATTGTTAACAATCAACCTGTTAGACTTATAATATAATTTAGTTTTAAAATAAAACTATATATTGAAGTGATTACATAATTGAGTACCTGTTATGGTTCTCCACTCTTGTACCTTCAGTTCCAAGGGTTCTGCACCCTTCTGTACTAGAACTCAGGACTTCTGTCCCTCAGGAGTACTGTCTATAGACTATATGTGTACTAACTCTTACTACTACCCTTCCTTACTTCATCATTCTGTTCCTTTGACCACCCTTTCATTCTTTGTTCATTCTACAGTCTCTTACCCTTTGTCCATCCCTTTATTCTTTGTACCTTTATCTTTGACCTTCCTTTCTTTCATTCTTTGTAGCTTATCATTCTTAGTGGCTCATACTCTCTGAGTACTCTTGTATAGTTTAGTATATATAGGTGTACAAGATCAGACTAGTCCTGTAGTCTTGATCTCATCTACTCTAAATAGTCCTGTACTCTTAGGCTTACTTTATATACTCTACTCTTGTCTTACTCTCTCTCTCTGTCTGTTCTACAAGTTCTGACTATGTTCTAGTGCTTGTGTTCTATATTTCTGTTGTGTAGGATAGTTGTAGCCTGGGTCCCCTTACTGAGCCTTCAGGTCCCCTCTATACTGTTACTGACATCAGATCAAGACTACTCATTACTACCTTATGACTCTCTTACATTTTGAGTATTAGTACTTACTATTGTGTCAATCTCTTTTCTTTGTCCTAACCCTTTTACATTTTTAAATTTTAAACTTTCTAAACCCTTTTAAACTTTTGCCACCCTTCTTCTATTCATTACCCCTTTTAGTTTAGTGCTAATTCCTTTATAGTGTAAACATAGACTCTCCTACACCAACTGCCACCCCTACTGTCTTACCAGATTAGTAGTTACAAGCAGACTTAGTTTAATATATATAGACCTCTATCTAAAAGGCCTTTACTAACTACATACTCTTAGCCCTCTTAAAACCTGTTCTAATTGTTTCAGAAGTTACAACCTATTCTAGAAAGAAAGTGTATATAGTCTACCCTTCAGACTTTAATAGGTAGCACTTTAAAGACTTCTAGTACTAAGTTAAACTATATATGGCTACTACTTTGACTAATCTATTCTTAGATCTTAATTACATCCTATTTGTCCTCTCCTTTATGAAGGAAGGTAACACAGTCACTTAGGCCTAGAACTAGATTGAAGGCTATTAGATTAGAAGTCTAATCTGACTTTAGAATAATGAGTTGTATTTAGAATTCATAGGACAGCTCTGTACTTCCTTTATTAATCTGAATGAAAAGTGTAATATACAGAACAAGCTTGTGTCTCTATAACAGGACAAACATTCTACTAATACCTTCTTCTAAGAGTTTGATATCCTAGCCTGGAAGGTAGGATTCATACTCAGGTTTAATAATGTTCTCATTAGAATGCTTGAGAAGGCTCTTCACCTAGAACTAGTTAATAAGATTCTCAGAATAATACTAGAACTAGTTACTTACACTGAGTAAAAGACACACACTATTTCCTTCAACTAAGCTACAGTTTAGATACATTAAGTCTGTACAGAATGCTTGTACATGTGTCTAGCTCTAACAGTTCTAAGCTCTTGAATCAATCTACCTGTAATTTGTAATCAATCTGTTCTAATAGACATTAGAGAAGCTTGAAAGTAAGGAGCATACTTTACTTACAGAAAGTTAGGACACTAAATTAAGGACTGCTCACAGAAGTAATAGTATATTTATTAGATTATTAGAGTAATAATGAGTAATAAATAGGATTTGTAGTAAGAAGCCTTTTCTACAAATTCAGAAGTTACCTTAGAACTCCTGAACCCTAACTATATACTCTAGGATTTTGTAAAGGTCTAACAGTAAATATAGTACTAAAGAGTTATAACTTGGATTTTTTAACAGTTACTTTTAATTCAATAGACACTATAGGATTAGAAGTAAATAAAGTAAGAAAAGTAGAAAAAGTAGAAAAAGTAGAAAAAGTAAATCAACAAAATTATTTATTAAAAAGAAAAAAGTTGAAAACAAAAGTAGATAGTTCTCTTATTCCTTCTGATTCTTTTGATTCTTCTCTTCATACTTTATCCAAGTCTAAATCTATACAATCTGACTTACTACTTCTACATTCTAAGATCTTAGAATGTTCAGAACACTACTTAGCCCTGTTTACTACTTAGTAGTTTGTCTATAGTATTAAGTAGGGATAGTCTTAGTTGAGTTCACAACTGAGAACATAAGTCTGTCCTTGTTGAAAGAGAGAGGTTAATAAGGAAATGTTAGTGTATATACTTACTCTCTTAGACAATAAGACTGTACAAGCTGTACATTCCTTTCAGAACAAGTAGTAGTTTATTAGAGAATGTTCTAAGTACTAGCTCTAAGTCTCTGTCCTCTTAGCTCTCTTCTCAGGATCCCTCCAGATCTAAACAATAGTTCTAGTAGATAGTGAATGTACTAGTTTGTGTATTAATAAGGCCTTTGTGTAGGAACACTACCTTCCTACTTAATGTGTTCTACTTCCAATCCTAGTATATAATGTAGACAGAACTCTAAACTGGAATAGTTAGATTACTAAGTTTGTCTAACTACAGATAACTATTTAGAATTATAAGGAAAGTATTGAGTTTAGAGTTACTAGCCTTGGAAAGACAGACATCTTTATTAGATTCAAATGGCTTAAGACTCACAACCCTACTATTAACTAGTTAGAGTAAACACTTGTGTTTAATTAGTGTCCTAAGTCTTGTAACTATCTTATACTACTGTCCTAAGTAGATGTAGACACTTCTAATGTTACTAACAGTTCTGATAAAAGTGACCAGTTGTTCTTCTTTGACTAGGATAAATATGTAGACATATATTCTAGTCAAGGCAGAACAGAGTCAATCTGAAGAATGTTTAAGACAGAACTATTCTAGAACCCTCTCAGAACAACTCTACTCTAGAATACACATAGACTCAGTCTACCAGATTTTGTCTGAGAGTTTCTCAAAGTCTTTAGTAAAGAGGAATTCAACTAGCTTCCTAAACACTGTCTCTAGGACTATACAATCAAATTGACTAAGAGTTTCCAACCTAAGAATTGTAAGGTCTACCTACTTAATAGAGACAAGTAGGAGGTGCTTAACAAGTTCCTTTAGGAAAATCTTTGGAACAGCTAGATCTGACCCTTAAAGTCCTCTATAGCCTCCTCTTTCTTCTTTGTTAAAAAGAAAGATAGGAAGCTCTACTCAGTTTAGGATTATTATTGTCTTAATAAGAGTACTGTTAAAAACAAGTACCTACTCCCTCTAATTTAGAAGCTCATTAATAAGACACATACATCTAGGGTTTTTACTAAGTTAGATGTTTGATAGGAATACAATAATATTTGGATCTAAGACAGAGATGAGTAGAAAGCTGTATTCTGAACTAATTATAGATTGTACAAACTGACTGTAATGTTCTTCAGATTAACTAACTTGCTTACAACATTCTAGTCATTTATGAATCACATTCTTACAGATCTGATTAACTTAGAGTATGTTAGTGTGTATTTAGACAACATTCTGATCTTTACTCAGACAGTTAAGTATTATTACTAACTAATCTAAGTAGTTCTACAGTAGCTCTAAGATAATAAACTGTTTCTCTAAGAAGTAAAGTGTTCTTTTACACAGGAGTCAGTAGATTATCTAGGCTTTGTGATTAGTAGAGGAGAGGTCTGTATGGATCTAGCAAAGGTAACTGTAGTTTGGAACTAGCTACAACTTT